CAGCAAAGTCAACACCAGCTGCTGACGTCCTATCAAAGATGACAAAAACTTGTATGATGAATTCCATGCTCCTCAAGTGAGCCTTACACCCCAATAGCTCACTCAGGATGTAGCTACAGCCCTAAAGTCATACTCAAGATCGTATCAGCATCTTCAATTGGCATACAAAACAATGTAACTTCCTTCTATAATCCACAAAAACACTGTGTTTGGTCATGCCTTCATCGTTTAGGGTTTACTAACCCATGTTTGAAAGGATCAAAAGTTGAACTGCTGTTTTCTGACCAGTGCACAGCAAAAGTGGAGGGTCAAACTTCCTTCCAGAAAGAAGGTTTCCTGCCTGAACACCAATCTCTGTGAGTTCTTCAGCAACTTCTTGAGTAGCACAAGCACAATCAAGTTCAGAATACAAAAGATGTCACATAATGTTTCTTGATAATACTCATCTCTCTTGAGTTAACTTAACTTGACCCTGTTCCATGGGAACAGCATGAATGATGTCAGACAAGCTCACCTTAGTTTCGCTTGGTTTTTTCGTGTAAACCAACCAGCTTCATAAATTTGCTCATTGTGCCGATGAAAGATCACAAATAAAAGCCTAACACAAGCAGGTGTCTTCCAGATAATAGGGCTTTGGTCAGACACTGCAGCTTTTACCAAATTACAACTAATCTGATAAATATAACATTTCTTAAAATCCTTACATATCTTAGCATGTTTAAGTATTATCGAAAACAGAAGATGCACCTATGTGACTAGTGCCAAAGAGTAACTACCAAACAAAAAAACAGCAAAATATTCCACTTCTGTACCTATGCTGTCTGAGCCTCTAGTGCAAACATCAATAACAATTAAGCATCTTAATAATCTGGCATTTCTTTAGTCACTGTCTACAACTGAAAAGATTAGAAAGTAAGAGGATGCTATTGTAGCATACCAGTGCCCCTTACACCCTAGGGAGATCAAGGGAGATCAAGGCCATTTCTCATTTTTCAACTCATTTCTTTAAAATAACTAAATAAACTGTCAGTAGGAATAGTCAAATAAACACAGGCTTTTTAGCCACACTTACATCAAAATTAAGGTTTCTTAATTTACTGTCAAAAATCTTCTTCTGAACTGTAAGAAGAATGGGGAAGCCTATTAGATACAGAAAATCTGAACCAATTTATCCCAAAGTGCTTAGTCTACACAGTAGGTTTGATGGAGTTTTACCTTTTATCTAATAAAACCTATTTCTAAGTAGGACATATTAGAACGACAGAACAGGTAGGATTGGAAGGGTCCTGTGGAGATCATCCAGTCCAAACCCCTGCCTAGGCAGGGTCACCTGCAGCAGCTGACACAGGAACATGTCCAGGTGGGTCTGGAATGTCTCCAGAGAGGGAGAGTCCACAACCTCCATGGGCAGCATGTTCCAGTGCTCTGCCATCCTCAATGCAAAGAAGTTTTTCCTCAAGTTAAGGTGAAACTTCTTGTGTTTTTAGTTTATGGCCATTGCTCCTCATCCTGTCACTGAGCACCACCAAAAAGAGTCTGGCATCAACCTCTTGGCCCCAGACTTTGAGATATTTATATGCACTGGTGAGATTCCCTCAGAATACTGGGAATTATTATACTACATCAGTAGACTTTCAACCATCAATGCTAAGATTCTTTCTAATTTAATGCCCATCCAAGTGTCCTACTGAGTACTAGCCTACCCCAGACAAGAGCATAGTTATTCTAGGAGAGAATTTAAGACTTACTCTTATTTCTTCATGTTTTTCTTTCTTGCTTTACCAAGGACAGATGTGTTTAAATATCTGGTGGTTTCCTAGCATAATGGCAGTAAAAAAACCTCTGTGCTGCCACCACAAAGCATCAGCTATTTTAACTGGCACATACACAGCAGAACTGCAATGCAGCAGAATACCACGAAGCTAAGGTTTACTATCACATTTTAGAGGACAGATGGGGAGAAAGGGGCTTTCCAACAACATTTTTTAAAAATAAGAGAACAGAAAAATCACAGCAAGTTAAAGTGAGCACATAAACATTTGCAAATTTTAAGGCAATGGAACAAGGGAAGAAAAAAAAAACCATACAAGAAAATAGCAGAAGCTGTGAAATTTAGCAGTCCTCCATCTCTCTGCACAAACAAGTTCTTTCATGTACTTGTGAAACCAGAGCACAGGCTGTGGAGAGCTGTGCAGGATTTATCCCCAACTCCCTTTTCCTTCTCCTCTGCTAAATCCACATCTTGACCTCCCAACAGCACTAAAAGTTACTTGTACTTTCCTCAGAGATGTGCTGCTGGAAACAACCAGTCTATTACCTCCAACTGTTCTGAACAGCAGCTCCAGCGAACTGACAGCAGGTGCCAATGGCTGTCAGAACATTAATTCCGTAACAAAACCACATGAACAAGGCATGAGAACAGAACTCCTAAGAGAAGAAACAGACATTCATGGCAGTAAGGCATACACTCAAGGAAATCTGATTATTCCACCTGCAGGACAGGGCTGGTTGGAGGGTTTTTACTTTTTTAGCCTCAAAATGAGTATAAGCTAGCTTTAATACCTCATCCAACAGTTTCAAACTAAAAATCAAAGTCCTTGTGAAACCTATGTCTGTGTACTAGCTTCAAAGCGCTCCTTTTCACCCTTTCTAGGAACTAAACCATATTTAACAACAATATCAGACTTTTAATCTCCATTTCCAGATGCTAACCTGGGTTCGCCCCAACATTTGCATGCAAAACTTAATAGAGCACGAAGTTACAATTTTCCATATATACCTGTGAAAAGTATGCGTTGCAGAAAAGCAGTTTCCTGTTGAAATCACTTTCCCATCTTTTCGTCTGGTGCAGCCCCTTGAAATACTACCACCATAAAACATGGCTTTGGAAAAGGCAGCTCTCTGCTGTGCCTTCACTTAAGCATAGAATTACAGGGAGCACAAGCCAACTCTCCAGCCAGTGCACTCAGCTGGAGTTCATTGTCTTAAATACATCAACTTATTGTTTGCTCCAAGACGGCTACCATAATGTCAAGGTCACTTTTAGGTCTTTGAAGGGAGTGTCAGCCTTCAGCCTGCAACAGAGCAGGCACTACAGACAAACAGGAGGAATTTTACTTTAAGCCCTTCTGAAGTGGTATCTTTCTTTTACACAAGCAGAAAAGAGTCAAAAATAACGTGTAGGATTTAAACTTATGATCTTACGGCCTACAGTGCATGCTAATGTTAAACCAAATCACGCTAATGTAAGCTTGCCGTATTATCATCCTGATAGTCTGCCTACTAAAAAAGCAGATCCCCCTTTCAAATGAAAATTAAGGAATTACCTCTTTAGGACAGGGAACCACCTGACCAGTGCTGTAGTCGGGGTTTTCCCCTCAAAGGTTCTTGCGTAATTCCAGTATAGAAATGGAGCTATAAATACACTGAAGGGGCAGCTACATGGAAAAAAGTTGGCATATTAAGAGACTGATTAATGAGATTGATTTAGGAGGGCAAACTCTGTCCATTTACACACAGCACCCTTCACAGGATTTAGAGTTTGAGTGGAAAATTTATTAAAAGTCTTTAAAAACGTGAATACTGCTCTTAATTCCTCCACACTGGTAAAGAGGTATCCTGTGAATACACACACACAGACATGGAGAATTGGCCAAAAAAGCAGTCCACGTACAATTCAGCAGGGAAGCAGAACCCTGCTATGTCTCATCAGGATGTTCTCTTTCCTTTGCACAAAGAGGATGTCTAACATTGGGAACCAGAGAATGGGCTACCCCAAATATTGTTTATTAATTTAAATAGAGACTCATTTCACAAATTTCCTGGCATTAAAAAAAAACCCGCCCAAAACAGTTCTTCAAGAAGAGACTGCTAATCGCTAATAGACAAAAACAACACAGTCACGCTAAGATCTGTATTCACAGATTCTCAAATAAATCTGAAGCTTTAGCTGCTTAAAAAAGATAAACACTGGGGGGCGGGGGAATGAAGGCGAAGAAAGAAAAGAGAACAAAAAAAAAAAAAAGGCCCAACATTTTGTCCCGATTACACAGATGCCGCGAAACAAGCCGGGTGCCAATGGGAAAGGGCTCAGCCAGCAGCGATGACTCCTGGCATCACCCATCCTTCCTTCCTACGTGACCTGACAGCCTCCCCGGCGGCCCCGCAGCTCTGCTGTGCCCTGTCATGGAATCTGCCCGCTCAGCAAACGCGCTCCATTTTCTTGTCCGCTCCGCCGGAGCCCCTGCGAGCGCAGCCACTACCGAGCAACAGCGGGAACAACTTCGAGAAAGACACGGGCGCTTCTCTCACAACTGCCTCCTCTTTTTTTCCCTGTGCGCAGAGCAAGAGCAGAGCTCCCCCCGCCCCAGCGAGACCGGTTCCGAGGCATCCCCGGCTCCGGGCTACCAGCCCTGGGTGCAATCCCGCCGGGAGCGGCGCGGAACCGGGGCAGCCCCCGCCCTCCCTGGGATCGGGCACCAGCCCCGGGACGGCAAGTGTTTACATTTAAAAATACATATATACCGAGGTCGGACTCAGGGGGAAGAGGGGAAAACTCCGCCCTCTCCCGACTCCCTCGGAAAGGCGATAAAAGCTGGGCTGAAACATCTGACCGCTCAGCTCCCCTTTTTTAAGAAGAAAAGAAAAGAAAAGAAAAGAAAAGAAAAGAAAAGAAAAGAAAAGAAAAGAAAAGAAAAGAAAAGAAAAGAAAAGAAAAGAAAAGAAAAGAAAAGAAAAGAAAAGAAAAGAAAAGAAAAGAAAAGAAAAACGCTGGGAAAGCGGCAGGGACGTGGCGTGCAGAAGTCCCGGCTGGAACGGGGAGGCGGAGGGGAGGGCGGCTCGTCCGGGCCCGGCCGGGAGGGACCGCGCGGGGAGGCCGGGCCGGGCCGGGCCGGCGGGAGCGGGAGGCGAGCACGGAATTCCGGCGGGAGAGAAGCGGGGCAGGGAGGAAGGGAGGGAGCAAGGGGGAGCGCGGCCCGCGAGTGGGAGAGGGCACTCACGTAGCGTTTCAACTTCTTCTCCGGCGGGGACTTTCGGAGCCAGCCCGAGCAGACCACCTCCCCGCCGCTCATGGCTGCGCCGCTGCCCGCCGGGGCGCTCCCTCCGCCTCCTGCTCCTTCTCTTCCTCGAGCAGCGGACACAGGGAGCCCCGATCGGCGGCGGCAGCACCGCGCCCGGCCTGGCCTCCCGGGGCAAGGGGCGGGACGGGGCGCAGGGTGTGTGTGTCTGTCTGTCTCTCTCGCACAACAGCCCGCCGGAGGGGAGCGGGGCGGCGAGCGGGGCTGAGGCGGGAGGGTCCTCCCTGCCTTCTCCTGCTCGCCGCCGCCGAGTTACGCGGACATCGAGAGAAACGACAGGGGCGGCCGCCGCCCCGCCGCAACTTCGGCGTCCCGGGGCAGGATCCAGGATCCAGCCACCGCCCCGCGCCGGTGGCGCCTCCCCCGTGCCACCGGGACCCTCCCGCTGGGCAGGGCCGCCGGGGGCTTCGCTCCCTCCCGCCCGCCCCTCCGAGCTCAGCGCCGGCCGCCGCGGCTCCCTGCTCGCTCCTTCTTCCTCCTCCCCCTGCGCCGGGAGGAGGGGATCGGCAGCACGCCTGCCGTCCCTTCCTCGCCTTCCCTTCCGCGGGGAAGGGAGGGGCGGGGCGGGGGTCTTGCCCCGAGGCTGGGGCCGTGGCCCGGAGCCGGGTCCGCTTCCCTGCCGGCCAGCAAGGGAAGGCTTTGCCCTGGAATTCAGGGCGGCGCGTCCCCCCCGAGCCCCCTTTCTCCCGGCGCCGAGCGGCGGTGCCGGCCCCGCCTGCCCCCGCCCGGCGCCGCCCCGAGCGCTGCGGCTCCCCCTCGAAATTCCGCCGGAGCCCTTTCAAACAACAAGGGCTTGGAAGCAGGGAGGCAGGCAGGGAGGGACGGCCGGCCGGCCGACGCTTCCAGCGGGATCCTGGGAGCTGTAGTCGGCACCCGGTGAGAACTGCGGCGGCGCGGCCGGGAGCGGAGGGGACGCGGCCGAGGGACGGGCTCGGTCCCTGCAGGGAAAACAAATAAAAACCCCAAGCAAGCAAACAAACAAAACCCAACCTAAAGATCCCTATTAAAACTGCATTAAAATAGCGCGGTCTAAGTAAATTTCTCATAGCAAGTCTGAAACTGCCATAACAAAAAAAGAAAAAAAAAAAAAAAAGAAAAAAAATCTTTAATTGTCCAGGTCGTTCACCAGCTCTGCTGTGGATGCGCTCTGTCTTTTCCACTCCGTCAGAAAAGGGTTAAATAAGTAATAACAAATACATTAATAAATATAATCAATAAACAATATATTATTAATTAAAGAAAAATAATAGTACACTTTTAACAAAAATAATTTTTAAACAATTTTTTTTTTTTTCAGATTACTAAATGGCAGGTTGTGGAATGGGATCGCGGCTTTGTTGTCTAGCTCTAGTGATGTTTCACTGCAGAGAAATAGTCCCCCTAGTGTGCCTTGGCTGAAGGGAGCCCGCTGATGCTACAATTCATCTAGGTATAAGTGTATTAAAAAGTTACAAGCAGCGGTTGTAGCATATAGGAGCATTCAAAGAAATAACAGGAAAAAATAAAGGCGAAAGGCTGAGGTGTTAAAATCTGTGCATCAATTCCAACATAAATCTTGTCATGATAATTACGACATTATGAAGCATTATTAAGCACTACAAGAAAGATCATCAAATATTTTGCCGAAAGCATTTGAAATAAGAAAAGATATGAATGTCAGCCTTTAGTAATTTTCAAAGCACATACATCTGAGCATTCAAACCATCCTTGCATGAATTTCTGCACACCATCCTTTCAGCTTCCTCAGCGGGGCTGGTGGAAACAATAAAAAAGTGATTTGGTTAGTAAACATAAACTCAAATTGTACTCCTAGGTTTAGATTACAAACTGGGTTTCAGTGCAACTTTTTTGTTAAAACCACTAATACCATTGTTTAATAATCTCAACATTTGACATTATTCAAGTGCCAGATAAGACCACAAAATTTTCCAGTATCCTTTAGAACACTGGAGACAATTTAGTATTTAGAACATGTGGAGTCATTGTGAACTAACTAAAAATGCCATTGGCATTGGGGCATTGTGACGTGATCCAATGGTTCATTTGAATCCCATTAATTAACCCATGCTTTGAGGGCAAATCAAAGAAAGCTTGTTTTGAGTTAAGCAGTCTCCATAGAGGCACCAACCAAACAAGTTAGCTGGTCCAGAGACACAAGATTGTCCCCGAGGTCAAATTTCAAAACATTACATTTGTGTTCTAAAGCATGCAGAAACCAGTGTCAGCCTGGACTCCAGCTTAAGTTTTCATGTATTTGTTTATCAGTTTTGTGAAGGGGTTTAATCCCTGTCATGTAACGATAAAACATACACTAGGGAAAAAGAGTTAATGTCATAGTGATGAATAGTAAACAACAAAGCTTGCCTTTTAGACTGTACTTAGCCGTTGAGCCTAGTCACAAGCCTCATGACTGGACATAAAATGTTTTTATTGCATTGTGGAATTGAAGAAAACATAATACAACAAAGCACAATTTCCAAATGTTAAGATGTTGTCTCATGGACTGCTCCTTTCCCAGTCATGGCAGTGGATTTTCTTTTCTGCTCTCAGCCATTTGAGCTACGCATCCACAGTCCCACCAATGCTGTCACTTACCATCTCAGGAGAAGGCTGCACAGAGCTGTACCTCTCTTTCCAAGTTAGTGAACAGCTAGAAAATCCAAGAATATTAATTTTGTGGATTTCTGTGCGTATCCAGCAGTCTTCCACAGGTCATAATTTAGATAACCTGTATTAGGGTAAACTGAAACAAGGCTAATGAAATACATAAAGAGCACAATATTAAAGTCTGACTCTTAACACTATAACTGTAAAACTGTCTATGAAGAGAGTAGTGAAACAATTACACTAGTCAGTTCCTCCATGTAGAAAAATTTTTACACTCAGCCAGCTTAGGCTAGGGCATAATTTCCTGAATTTAGGGATAAAAGTCACAAGGATTCTGTCGAGAATAACTGAGCTATACTTCTGTCCTGAAAGTTAAAACAATATAAGCATGCCCCATTTTGAAATTCTTCTGCAATACAGCTTGTGCTTGGAAGAACAAAACTCCCTTCAGGGCTTGAAGGACTGTAACCCCACGTCAGGACATGACTACCCTCTCCCCTCACTTTGTTTCCTCAGGTTATTTCTGTGCTGTTCCTTGGGAAGCCTGGAAGATAAAGGTGTTTCAAGCTCAATTATTTGTATTACAGAGATCTTTGGTATTTGACTATTGGGCCTTTGAGGAAGAAGAGAGAAGGAAAGAGGATTTTTTTCTTGGAGGAAAGGTTATTTTGCCTGTTTTTAACAAGGATGTTGCAATGACAGCTGTTGGTTTTGAAGAAGAGGATGTGGCCAGCAGAGCAGCTCGAGAAGGAAGCTCTGAAGGTATCCATCCTCTCTTCTTACAGTGACAAATCCTGCTACAGGATTGGGAATGTTGGGAATGTTGCCATTCCTGGATCCCACATTGCCATCTGAAACAGTCCCTGTGCTGTGACTGGACATTGTGATCAACCTGCAGCACACACAATGCTCAATAAAGTTCACTTTAACCAGCGAGGTGATGCCATGGTCACATGGGATCTGACGACTGCACACATGTGGTCACGGTGCTGGTGCTGCCTCCCAGCTCAGGAAGCATGTGCAAGATGCCTTGACTCCTCCACTGACCTTGTGTTCTTCCACAAGTGCATTCCAAAGTGTTTAAATGGGTTCTTCAAAATTCTGGAGTAGACTATTTATATATCTTGCCAGATAAAGTAGGTCATGTGGAAATCCATTTGTCTCTGGTTTGCTTGCCAAGTTGCCTTGATGAAGGAAGCAGGAGCTGATAGAAGAGGAGATTAAATACATATGGGCTTGCTTTCAAAATATAAATTATGTTAATTTCTCATGCAAATAGCTTAAGAATTCTGGACTTGCATAATAATATGGTGCTCACTACAGCACTATCTTTGTGTTATACTTCTAGTATGATAACCTATGCATTCCCCTGTGGTTTCACCTTGCAGTCACAAACAGCTGCTCCTGATAGTGATCCCTAAACTCCTCTATGCCTCCTGCTTACATTTGAACACAAAATTTGTACTTTGACAAAAAAAGAACCAAAGGTCTAATTAAAAAATATAAATTAGTTTAACAAAAAAATTTGCATGTCAGTCTATATCCCAAAACATCTTTAGGTGTTTATGTAAAAATGAATCAGTGAAAAAAAAGAATTAATCTTTTAAGTTTGCAAAAATCTGCATTTATATATTTATTTTCATCTCAAATACTTCCATTTTGTTTTCAAAATTATTCCCAGGTAAATTTAATCTATGTAGTTATTTTGGTCACTTTGTGGATGACATTTACTGTTTCTTTCAGAATGTAGTTATTTAGATTATTTGGCAAGCACATTGAGGAAAGTAATAAAACCAGACATAATTAAAAGAGATGACTGTATGTCCACACACTTTAGAGTTGTTTACTGGTTGTTAAGCTACCTCATCTCTTTTCTGTGATTACATTTAATACTGATGTAGGCAAATAAAGGCAAGAGTATACTGCAGAACTCATACACAAAAAAGGAGCAGTTTTCAGTTCTGCATAGGTGTAATACATTGAGATTTCATTTGTGTATTCTGTGGAAAATACTCATTCCCCATTCTGGTGTGGAAATTCACTGGTAAATGTTTGTCCTCTGTTTTTTGCCAGAGGATCAGTTGACTGCCTTGCTTCATGCAAGGGAATTTCCCTTTTTTTCCTAGGCTAGTCAAGGAAGAAGGAGCAGGCTGGCTGGTTGGCCAGCCATGCAGAAACTTACTAAGGTCTACGCTGTTAAAAAATTAATCGGAAGCTTTTCCCTCCATAAGGACAATACCTTTGCACGTATATACCGAAAATGTCTGGACTTTTTCTATAATAGGAAGCATTTTACAAGTTCAGCACAATGGAAACTTCACCTTAGGCCACTTTAGGCTTGGTCTTGTAACAGAAATAAGAATTATAGGAGACATAATCATGTTTCCAGGAAAGTAAGTAATGTATGGTCACATGAGAGACCAATACTCCAAAGCTGTACATAGTCAAAGGAGGCATCAGCCAGGCTCTTTGGCTGAGCATGGTTTGTCCTCAAAAAGCACAAGGTGGAATTTGTACTGAACACCTCCCAAAAGAATAATTTACTGCTATGTAGACTCCTGGGGAATAAGTTAAGTCTAAGAGTCAGAAAATATGTCAACACTGCAGTCTGGTGGTTTCTGTTACTGCTTTAAAAATAGTAGGCTCATATCAGAGAATATTTTGGTTAGAGAGCTGTTTAATACAATACAATTTCAGTAATTCTCCTTACAATGCAAGTGTAATAGGAAGTTATGTCAACTACATGTTATGCTTTTTCTTATTTTTCTTTGTCTGAATCTCCATGCTAAAATGGTTCATTACAACTGGCATTTGGAAAGTAAAGTAAGGAAACCAAAAGATTACCTAGAAATAACTGAAGGGAGAAGGAAAATTGAATGCCAGGGTTAAGCGGTGTTTCGCCAGAGCTCCTCTCTTTCCCTAAGATATTAATCCAAGAACTATGTGCAGTGCTCCCAAATTTCAACTATTAAAATAATTTAAACCTAATTTGAGTCGTATGTCTTGGAATACTTTGATACCCAGTGGGAACATATATTCAAAACCAAGGGAATTACTGGAGGCCCACCTAACGAAAACACAAATGGCTCTGAACACTGCAAAAAAAGGACCTATCATCACAAGATGGGGACAATGACAAGGAAGTGCCTTTCCGACATGTTTCCAGGCTACACAGGGACCCATTAGGGCCAAAACTCACACTTTGGCATCTGGTACTTCACAGAGAAATTAGCACCACTACAAATTACCTTCTCTGCAGACTTGAGGACGCCTCCATCAAAAATGCTTCGCCCTCATTCTGTGCTGCTACTTTTCAGACAGACACATTTCCTTACCTTATATCTTATTGACAGAATAAGAAATGCAAGGTAGTAAAACTTCCTGCTGGAGTGAGGGCAGTTTTACGGGTAGTGCTGACAATTGCCTGCAGCCTCAGACACAGGGTTTCTTATCAAAGCATTCCAACTAGCAGTGCCAGTCAGCTAGGCTGGGATTCCTCCATCTGTATCACCTACAGTGTGGCGGTTTGCATATGCACCGCTCACCTACACCTTCTTTATAGTCAGTGAGAGATACAGGGAACTGGCAGCTGAGACACATCTCTTCCAAAGGCAGATGGCTAAACTGAATTATGTTCTTGAAGTTTCTGTTTATCTCCATTGTCTATAAAACTGTCTAGACACCTTGCTCAGAGGAAAGCAGCCATGCTTGTGACATGTAAAGTTAGGGAAGATGAAAATCGTAGCGTGTAAGTGAGAAAAGCAACCATATTTTCAGTCCTGAATGTATGTCTGTCTATCTATCTATCTATCTATCTATCTATCTATCTATCTATCTATCTATCTATCTATCTATCTCAGCTCAGTGTCTTTGAGACTTTTCATCAATAGCAGGGATGAGAGGTGTAATAAATTTACAGATT